AAAAAAACGTTGACTTCTGATGCCTAAACCTAAAACAGCATCAGTGGTTTTAAAAGAGAGGAGGCTAAAGAGATATTACAGCATCAGTGATATCTCCTATGCTGATGCGTATTATCAATTACAACATCGCAAAAACAAATAATGTTGTTGCGAATTATGTTATACGTCATCGCTTTTTCTGTTTTGTGGACGTGAAAAGCCTCCAATAACGCTGATTGTTATGTAAATACTGATGCTACTTCTAGTTTTAGGCATCAATGATCATAGATGTCTAGTTGTTTTAATCTTTTAACTTCAATTATTTTTGCAAAACTGAAGTTGTTATAAACAATATGCATCACTTATGTAAGGAAAGTGTAGGCATTTTGCATCACATATATATAAATAGTAATTTATATATATTCATACTTGTCTATATATATAAGCAAAATACTTGAAAGATCCATACTTATCACATCCAAATCACAATTTTTCCAACCTCACACCACAAATTATCCGTACTTGTCTATAACGCAAAATACTAGCTAGAAACACATGAAAAATGGAGGAATGTTTAGTTCAATCAAAAAGCCATTATAGGACATGAGTTGCCAATTCTTCTCGCACCTCATCCAATTCCATTTGGGTGTACATGTCGTTTCGTCTAGCTCTATGTTATTACGAAGTGCTTTGAACAATGATATCTCCATCACACCTGTGTCAATATATAAACAAGTAAAAAATAGTCTCTTTGCAGAACAAAAGGAATAGAGACAAAGTCTTAAGAAGTAATGGAAAAGCAAACACAGAATATATTTCAAAATAATAACGACCATATTGCAAAAGCACAATATTGAAATTGTCTTCCTTGACATGTTCTGATGACTCTAAAAAAAGAACCAACAAGAAATAGCCTACAAAATCCACTGCGACTTTTAATAAATAATCAAAATTAAACAATATTATTAGTGTTAATTACATGCATAATTTTGAATTATTATTGTTAATTGGAAGGATAAAAAGTGTTTTGAGGGTCTCTGGCAAAGCAGAAAAAGTAAAATCCTGGCAGGATCAAAATAAACAAGAATGGTGAAAAACCTTTCTGCAGCTTGTGGACTTTGAGTCTTCATTATCACTGATGGGATTCAGAGTCTCAAAACATATAACTCCTTCAATCCAAGCTTGCTAAGAGTTTTTGCCACATGGACCTTGTCCCCATTTGAGAAAATCTGTTTTCATATTGTTAAGCCAAAACATCATCAGAGAAATTAAATCTTGAAGCAAATTTTTTTAGTTACCATCAACTTATATGTAACTTGTAGCTTATGAGTTTTCGATACGGCAGGCTCAGCAGCAGAGTCCTTAGGACATGGTCAGGTCTTAGTACCTCATAGGGCAAAGGGTATCATCTAGGTCTTAGTACCCTAACGAAGGGACTTCCATGGCTCTCTCTGGACGAGGAGGAGGATGTCTATGGCTCTCCCTTTCTTCTAAGGCCTTAGGTTATTTTTGCTGTGGCCAAACTTTGAGTGTCTAGATGGAGGAAAGAGAAGAAGAAGATGGAGGAGATCCAAAAAAATTGTGAGCTTTATTTTTTTTCAGGAGGTAGAAGCTGAAAAATGTCGAGCGAGTTTGGGAGGGATTGAAAAAAATGCGAGGGAGAGGAGCCAAGGTTGCGAGGGAGTCTGTAAAAAGGAGAGGGAGCGTGAAATGTTTTTGCTGGAGCGTTGACTATACTTTCAGCATCAGTGCTTCCCAAAAAAAAAAGCCCCCCACTTTACAAAAAAACAACAGAAACACTTTAGGCATCAGTCATTAGAACAGACGATGCTACATTGACATCAAGGCATCGCTAACGAAAACAAAATATTTGTGCTGAAGTCGTTTTACCTTTTAGCATCTTAATTTATAAAAGCGATGCCAAATATACTTAAAGCATCGATTTTCAATTTTCTGATGCCAATGTAGTGTTGCTAAAGCCAAATTTTGGCATAGTGATTCCTGAAACATAAAGAACTTGCTGAAACGGTAATTTGTGTTCTTGGTTTAATGTTTTTCAGATATGTGGAAATACTCATTTTCTTTTTTATTGTTGAGAAAATGTAGAAAGGAGAACACCCTACTTATATCAGCAACTGGCAAGCCATGCATCAGTACAGAAAGAAGGGTGGCGTATACGTCAATGAGGTTGCTGAGGCAAAAGGGGTAAAGTTAAATTGTTAAATGTTCTATAAATTTAGTAATTCACAAGTTTATTATAGATACTTTTGACTTATGTCTAACATGTTAATTTTCTGCTTGCAGAAGAATATGGCAGCCGAATTGGAGAAAGTGAAAGAACAACTGGCCTCAAGTGCACCGAATGATACTCCACCATATCAGATCATGGTGCCTGAGAAGCTACAATTAGGGATCTTGTCTGCAGAACTTGGGGTTGGAAAGGACAAAAAGATACGTGGTGTGGGTTCTAGTCTTCGTGTGCAGGGTACTTCCTGTAGAATTTCTGAATCTAATGCCACCAACACCTCTTATGATTCAAAGCATAAAGTGGATGAGTTGTCAGGCAAAGTGGATGAATTACTTGGCGTCATCCGGAAGATGCAAGCCCATATCAAATACTTGCGTAAGAAAGGTAAAAAAAACCATGATAACGACGACGACGGCGACGACGATGGCGACGACGACGACGGCGACGACGACGGCGACGACGACGACGGCGACGACGACGGCG